GTTTAAATGAAAATTTTCGAGCGAAAAAAATGACATTTGCGAGCTGCAAATATACCAATTTGCGGATTCAAGCTTCCATAGCAAGCCTAAACAGAGTTTGTAATGCAACTTTCCTTTACACTTAAATAAAAAGCTTTTTCTGCTCAGTAAGCCTGTTGTGCTTCTTCATATTTATTGAGAAGTGTTAGGCAAAAGAGAGTGAGCAAGTGCAACAAAAAGTAAGACGGTATGGACCAACAAAAGGAACATTTAGAACAGTCATCAAATTATAGGAGCAAAAATTGTTGAGAGTACGAGCCCAGTCCGTGTATCGAAGCAAACGATAACATGACTAGGGTGGATTTATAAAAGCTCACAACTTTTGAGATTTTCGGCTCTCCCAAGTGCTTATCAGCAGCAGTGTGACTTCCAAAATGGACGGGATCATGAACACCTGAACACCTTAATTTGCAGTTTCAAACTCGAAGCAACTCTACTAAGCCCGAATAGGGTTTTTTTTTCTTACAAGGAAAGCTACCTAACGTAGGTTGACCTTTTGTATAGGGAGTATAATCTGAATCAGCGTCAAACGCTGATTCCAATTATGCTGTTCCCAGCTGTCGAGCAGCATTCCGAAGCGAGTTATGGACTTTCCTGCGCAAAATCGGCATACTCATCAATTTACTGGCATCATGGCATCAACAGCTAAGCGCTAATACACTTGCCTTAAGCTTCTTTTTAGTGAGAAAAGATTGGATTTGTGTTATTTCGTTATTCCAGCACCCTTTTCTTGCAGATTTTTATCTACAGGCAGTCTTCCCATGCTCAGTAGTACGCCAATTTTGCACATGAAAAGCCCTTAACTCACTCTGGAATTGGCTCGGCAGCTAGGAATACCATTTTCGAAATCAGCGTTCAAAGCTGATTCAGAATATATTAGGTTAGTGCAAGATTAACGTCAGTTTTTTTCAATCCATCGGCAAACACGCTAGGATGAAGATAAACAAACATTTCAAAATGTATTCGATGAGAATTTCTTCCTCTTTCCAGCAGCAAAACACACATTGTGTTTCCCTGCGAGAGTAACGAGATATTTGCTGGAAATTGCAACCATTCGTTTTTATCATGCTCAACTTTTACTAATTTTCAAAATTTTCGTATGAGACTCTCGAAAACTCAACAATCGGCAGATAGGGCAAACCTTTTGCCAAGAGACGCAATTTTTTTTCTTTTTCTCAGTTGCTTTTCCATATTTTTGTTAAATAATTTAAAAGTGTTGTGTTTTGAAAAATCGCATAACCTGTTTTTGCACCAAACACTGCAAAACCTACAGAATACTGAGGTTTCGACACTCGATTATTATTACCGCTACCATTACAAAGCAGATGAGCGATTTTCGCTTTAAATTACGAAGATTTTGAATTATAGGTTACGTCAGTGCGCACTCCTGAAATTGAGAAATACTGCGATTTTTTTCCACAATTTCGCCTGTCTCGGTGAAAAAGAAAAATGTTAGAAGGAGGAGAAAAAGTTGCATCGAATGATGAGCGAATTGCTTAACATTTTATGTTCTACGAGTAAAGTAGGCTGAATATAAAATTTGGTCACTTCCAAAAATAAATCGTAGAAATTTTGAAAAACAAGCCGCAGGCCTACGAAAAATTGCACTAGTTGGCAAAAGGTTTGCCCTGACTGCTGGGCCGGTAGTAATCTACCCTACCTGGTGGTATCAAAGATGCCGGCAAGTTGGCACACATCGCGGAAAGATGCCAACTCCGCCGGCAGCAGTGATTGTAGGTTTTAATAATCTTATGTAACCTTAGCACGCACTCATTTCGCACATTAAGTTTTGATGACGCAGACAGCCGCAAAATTGCTACCTCGCGCGCGGTCGAACCTATGCGTGTTAACTTGAAGTGCCACCACGTTAACCATTCGACCATTCGGTCAGACATTGCCCTTTGCACCAGCAATAGGAGGAACGCGCTGGTAAATGGCTGCCTGTAAGAGGGATCGATACATTGCGTGAGAGACTTTGACCTGAAAGAACAGCTGATTGATATGAGCGAGAGAGCGGCGAAATCTGTGCAAACGAGATTTATAAGGGATTTCCAAAAAAGATGATGTTTCTTTATGATTCTAAGGCATTACTGGATTTTTTCAGTGTAAGAAAATCGTCGTTCTAAAAAAGAAAAACTCGTATAATGAGAAAAATGATAGTTTTTTGATGAAAAGTAGAATTTTTGATGTTTTCGCCTGACGTAAATTGTGTGATATCGCCGCAATTCGCAAACTCGCAGACGCCGTCGGCAAAGGTGCCACCACCTCGACGTGGTAGGGGCACGTCGAGGTGCCGGCAGCTCGCTCTCTCAAAAGAGCACGCTATTTCCCGTGCTCTCTGACCTGCCGGCAGCTGCCATCTCGCGGATTCCGGCAACCTGCCGGCAGGTTGCCGGCAACTGACATCGCGAAGTTGCCGGCAGCTCCTCCTGGAATTCCAGATATTTTACTAAAGGAGGAGTTCTGGAGCCGCAGATTTTTATGAAGTTTTCTACAGAGTCAAGGCGGCAACTTTATCGAGAAAATTTTTTGGAAGAAGGCCTGGGACGGCCTAAATTTCGGTTCTTAGTTTCTGGCCACCTCGCGGAAAGGTGCCAGCAACCTGCCGACGAGACCTGCCGCCAGGTCGGGGGGATTACTACCGGCCCTGGTTATTAAAACTCCTCCGAAAGTCTCATACAAAAATTTTTAAAATTAGCGAAAGTTGGGCATGGTAAAAACGAGTGGCTGCAATTTCCAGCAAATATCTCGTTACTCTCGCAAGGAAACACAATGTGTGTTTTGCTGCTGGAAAGAGGAAGAAATTCTCATCGAATACATTTTGAAATGTTTGTTTATCTTCATTCTAGCATGTTTGCCCATGGATTGAAAAAACTGACAAAACTTTCGCAAGAGCCTAATATATACAGTGCTGGACATAATTATAAAGCCACTCTAGAATTCGTCGTAATTTTCGTTCTTGTCAATGAATCTGTCTAAAGCTTTGCCGTATTGTGCGCATGTCAACGTACCATGAACCCTCAAAAGGTTTCCAGTCTTGTCGAAATTGAACGGAGAAAAATGAAAAAATTCGAAAAAGCCCTCTTTGAAAGCTGGACAAAATTATATAGCCACCTGGTTTTTCTGATCACTATCGCATTCGTTGACTCTCAAATTTTTTTGTACAATTACATCCCAGAATATGAAACGTTTGCAACACCTACGGCCTGTTATCCTACTCAAATAGAAGCGATCACTGCATTTTTTGCTTTCAAAAGCATCAAAAATCAATCTGCTTAAACAAACAACTGGTTTTGAAGAGTTTTCAAGCTCTTGTTCATTTCAAATTGGAATCTACTCGATTTGAGTAGCTAATTTGACGTATCCAAAAACTATGAAAAAGGAAGTCATTACCAGTCAAACTGTGCATATAAAAATACAGTCACCGACTATGTCGAAAAGTTCAGTTGGCTAGACTTCAAGTATTTACTAGAGGCTTTAAGTATTTATTTCATTACTAAAATGTGTGTTTGTATACTTAGGAAGCAAAGCCAAGGTGATCCTTCCTGCGCTTTGCAATGAAGCTAAATTCTTGACATTGTTATTATCATGTTTCAATAGTTCGACTTTGAGTGCCCTTTGCGCTAGCGACGTAATTTCTGGGTGGAGCTAAAGCGTGTCTTAAGAGTGCGGGGTCATACGGCAATATAAGAGAATCTTTGAAGTTAATTGCCATTACTATTTGCTAATTCTCATTTGCACTATATAATTTTGGTCGCATAACTCGTCATTCTTATGATTTTGTGCTAGACTTATGCAGTGCAAAGGCCATATCCAGTCGAATTTTAGCTCATGGGTCTGAAAACTGTTCAGGGAGCCATAAGTAAGGCAGTGCTCAAGCGGAGCTAGAATGATTCGTTTCCCTGAACTCTCCGCGCCTGCGCCGTGACTTTCGCTCACTTTAACACTACGATCGCTCTGACCAATCTTAACTTAGTCGCGATTAAGGTCGCGGCGCAGGCGCGAAGCGTTTGTGGATGGATTTCTCAAGCGTGAATAAAACATCTGCACTGCCTTTTGGGCAGAGCGTTAGATAGGACTCCCTCGTCAGTTTCCAGGCAAAAAACCCATGCGCCCAGATTTGTTCTGAGCAAGAACGCGATTTTGAAAAAATTTACTTACGAGGTTATCCGCAACGCTGATTCCATGTTGATTAGCGCGAAAGCGGCAAGAAAATGCAAGTCCCGTCTTTGAGCTATGTGTATTGTTGTCTGTCAAGTAAAGTTTTCAGAGGTAGATAATCTTCAAGAAATTAACGATTGAAAAAGTTTCCTTTTACCCAGGAAGAGCTTCACCACAAGAGCAGATTAAAATTTGCCGCCTTTGTAAGATTCCCGTATAAACGTTTTGCCAGAGAACTTTACCAAGAAGTTGATTCAAAGGTTATAATTGTAAGTACAAGATTACAGCATTACATGCGCTACAAAAAGTCTCCGTAAGCAGCTTTACAACATATTGAATACAGTCGCAACAAAAAAATCCGAACAGTAAGGAGAAATTTTACAATATCTTAATTAGGAAATTTCTGCTGTACGTGCGGTTTGTGGTTTCGCAAAGCCTCTAAACTGATACTTTGTGTAGCCTACATCTACACACTCGTAGCCTTAAAAACAAAATTAGCGGCTGGAATGCTTCCAGCCGCCATCCAGTTGAATCAAAGCGTATCTGCATTAGCGGGAAGCAAGTTGATGACACCTATTGGCTTGAGGAAGTTTGACTGTGATAAAATTGTGAGGGTGAGGAGAAGTGCAAAGCTAATGTTTCTAGAAAAAGTGAGAATCTGCTTCACAATTGCATCAAACGATAGGCTAAGATTTTGAAAAAACTAGTGCAAATCTTTCCATTTGTTCATAGAGACTGCGTTTTGAAATTAGACTGCTTACAACTGAAGCAATTCGCAGCAGTTAAAGCAAGTGTTTAGAATGTGTACTATAAAGCTTCTGCTCTTCACGTTAATTTCATTGACAGAAGGCTCCATAAATCCGAAGAGCAACGAAGAATTCTCCAGGTTTCTCTTTCAATTTAGCGCATTCACGTGGAAACCTTGAATTTACAGAAGTTCCGTCCAGTCTCCTGGTTTGCCGTATCTCAATAGCTCCAACGCAGGTTAGTTACGTATCCAGTTTTTGCGTTTCAATACGAAACTTCTAAGAAGGTCTTTGAAATAAATGCTAAGTTGGGGAGCGTCGGAGAATGATTTTCCATGAGAAGACAAAGAAAAACGAAAAACAAAAAAGAATTCAAATAACACCAGTGGCGTACCGAGTGGCGTATTCAAATAACACCAGTGGCGCCCCCTCCCCCCCCCCCCCGAGAATGGGTCGCGAAATTTTTGAAAGTTACTTACACGAGTTATAAAAATGTGCAAGAGACTTATTTACACTTGTAAGTAATTGAAATTATTTTTAAAAAATTGTAAAAATTCTAGCCTTATAAAAAAAATTTTTTCGGGGGCGTTTGGGTTATAGGCCCACGAAAATTTTAAGAAGGGTACCAAAAATTTTTTCTGGGTGCGTGGCTAACGCCACGTCTGTTCATTAACATTATTGAACTCGAAATGGCCGATTCAAATGGATCCTCGGCTAGAAGAAGAACACAATTCTTTTTTGAAATTCCCTAAGCGTGGTGAAACAAATAAAGACTCGATGAAGCACTTGACTGTTTCGAAGACGAGCCAACTTGAAACAATCAGTTCACTAGCGTATAACTTTGCTTCATTCCTTCTTGTTTCTTCTGAAGTCTAAAAATCTTTCCTCTTTACAGCCATTCTAGAATCAAACTTGTGGTAAGAACAAAACACTGTAGGTTGAATGGAGGCGAGGAAGATCTCAAGTGAAACCAAAACATAATATAGGGTGCGCCAAAATTATTTTTTGCAGCAGTGGCATGGTAGAAATACTTATGGTTCTGGTTTCAAAATGAACCACAGATGCTGCAATTGTCCTTTACAAAATGTCGCCTTATGAGCCCAAGGTAGTTGCCTAATTTAAAATAATGGAGTTGCACTAGTGCTTTAGGGCGCGAAAACTCAAAATTTTGATAGTTACATTTCATTTCATAGCTGAAGATCTTTGCAGCAATTTGAAGCCGTTATTATCATTCAGTAAACAAGACTTTCCGCTATCAAGTCCTGGTAGTTGCTCTCGTCATAAACTATAATGTTTGTTTTAAAATGGTGACAAAATCTTTTTTGTTCTAGGCTATAGTGCTTTCACAAAGCTTCCAGGTAATCATCTAGTTTCATTCGATTGATGAAGCTAATTCTCTCAAACCCGATTTAGAGTCAATTTTTGTCTTTTTTCGATTCTCTGTATCCGCAATCTGCGCAATTTTTCAGTGCCGCGAACGCATGCTTTAGGATAAACATTGATAATACTCTTCGTAACCGTTCCTAGATACTGAGCCTAGAGTATGTTGTAGCCAAAAGCCTTCTCTATCATGCAGCATGTTTTTTGCATGACAGGAGCGATCTCCTCTAGAAGGGCCGAACGGATATTTGAAAAAACACTTGCGCGTCGGGCACAACTTCGTCAACTTCAACAACATAGCTTGTGATTTTTCTGAGGCCAAAGTTTTAAAATTCAGGTCATACCATAGCCTCTTAATGGCACGAGTTTGCCGCTGCAGAATACATGCGCAAATGTTAGGTTGTTTAAAAAGTTCGTTCGCATTTTTTTTTGTTTCAATTTTTCCCAGCATTTCACAAAGCTGGCATAGTGCTTATATGCATTCGGAAAAAACTTAAGTAGGTTAGAAGTTACAAAACTTAGTTAACCCTAATAATTATTTGCCTACATATTTATGCCATATACTCGCAGAGCCAAGAAAAATTCGCAAAATAACAGATACATTGAGGATGCCAGTTAAGAAGTTTTGATTGTAGTGCGTTACATGTCAAACAGACTTTCACTCAGTCCTGACTATAGGAAGTGAAGGAAAAGGGGAAGGTGCATTGCAAAAACATGCCACACGAATTTTGAAGGCGATCAAGCTCAGGCACACAGGCTCACAGCACAGGCTGGATATTGTTTTGGAGTAAAAGGCAACGGAAATTCGTTTTTGCAGGCTGTGGGGCTGCAAAAATAATGCATGAATTTGCTTTTTGAGAATCATCGTCAATACTCATTTTTTCGTAACAGATTAATTGTGTAGTAATAAAACTCCAAAGGAATGGCCAATCCCCACGCTCATAAAGCCAACAGATTTTGTCTTCCCCTCCCATATAAAATTTACTCCCAATATTGTCTCATGAATCATACGAGTATATTCCAACTATTTCCAGGCACAGCACTGTTTTATGGAAAGCATAAATGTCTTTTTTTGTAAGTGAGATCCGTAAAATTTCTTCAAGTAAAGAAAATTTTTTTCGATTTCTTCAAATCTGGAACGGCTTTCGATTTTGGATTTAGAGCAATCTCGACCAACAGAGCTTGATTTGCTCTAGCAAACGATATCCCGTAACCTAATCGGGATGAAGATCTATACGAACTACAGCGGAAAAAAAGAATTGGAACTGAAAAAAATGGAAACAACCCCATATGCAGTTTTCAAAAGGAGATATTGCTTGCTACCTACGGATATAACTTTTCAGAGTGCCCTGGACATTGCGAATCTGGATGGACATATTTTAGCGAAACAGATGCGTGCTATAAGGTGCGTAATAACTTTTTATCATAGGGATAAGAATACGCTTGAGCGTGCTTGAATATATTTGCTGTCATAGATAGTATGTCTAAATTCAAATCATCAACTGAACCTAATAGTGCCTTCAGAGTGGGGCTTGTTTTCAAGCTTTGCGTCCCTTACTCATCTTGATCATAATATGAGAAATTTTTCCACAAAAAACATCGAAGAGCATTCAGAATTCCCGATATAATCGCATGAGTAGAAGCATCATATCAGTCAAAAGAGGCGATCTTATCTCCGTGGGTAAGGAGGCATGAAACTAAAACCTCCTTTAAAGTCTACTCATCCAAGTTGGAAATAGTCATCACACATGCGCTATGTTTTGAATTAACTTCAACAGTGAGTATGAAAATGTGTTTGCGCACTTATCAGCCTAAGGTAGTGATCAGGTACTAAAGACTACGGCAATTTCTCATACTGTGACAAGAGTGTTCAATTCAGAAATATGAGTCAAGGATTTGGCAACAATGTAAAAATTGATGATATTTGAACACTGGCTGGCATGAGTGTATTCAACTGCTCACATAAAATTTCTGATATTTTTTTTGAAAAGGTGCGAAGTCGAAGTCGTTTTGTGCGCAATGCAACATTTCGAACCCATATGTGAACGTGCAGTAAATATCTCAAATTGTAATCCAAACGATTCAAACAATACAAAGCAGTTCGATACAAGGTAAAAAGTGGGCTAATTTTCAAGACAGACTGTAGATTAACAACGTGTGCGCACGCAAGCTTTAACCACCAAAAAATTCCAAAAAAATCACGCTACGAGTAAATTCAAAGCAAGCTGCAACATGAAATGTGAATCGTATGTTACTTGATATGAGTTCAGGAGATTACGATTACCAAAACAACTTTTTAGAAAATGCTCATCAGTCATAGATAAATTTTACAGACTTTCCACTGGGAGACCTTCTACAGCGCCGAGAGCCGTTGTAGGAATTTCGGAGCACATCTGGCCTCAATCCACAATGCTGATGAGAATCACTTTGTTGCTGGTCGACCCACATTTTTTTTCCAAATCATAACATTAACATGATTTGATTGTGTTTTAGACTTGACAGACACGGCAATTGAGTGGCATTATGAGAACACTGATGCGCATGTACATGGATCAACTTGGATAGGTCTAAGATGGGCTGACTACTCAAACAGCGAAGATTGGCTTTGGACAGACGGAACAAAAGCTGAATTCCTAGCGTGGGCTCCGAATGAACCTAGCGGAGGAAATGAACGCTGCGTGGAGGTATCACATTTATCAATAATGTAAGGCAAATTGATTGTTAGCCAACTTTGTATTTTTTGACACGATGAGAACCTAATATATGCAAGCGGAATAATCATTTGAGCACTGCGGTATTCGCTTTTTTTTTAACCTTCTTAAAGCCCTTCCGTACATTTTCTTACATAGGTTCTTGCAGCTACTCAGTGATCGTATGGTAGAACCAGAACGCGCCTTATGGTACCATAAATGGAATGACATGCCTTGCTCTGATAAAATAAGATCATATGTGTGTAAGAAACCGGCTTTGCACTAAGTGGTGTCTATTTACTTGGATCTGACTGTTGTGATTGACACTTTTGACAACACTGAATGCCAATAAATCTTCTGCTTTGAAAAATTTGTTTGACCGCAATCGTTTGCTGGCAAAGCACGTCGATAGGTGCTATGCGCACTTTAGCTAAGCTTCAACAATGAACCGATAGCTGCAAGATTGCTACGATTATCTGATAAGGAGATAAAATCCTGCTCTCGAGCGCAACACCCTTTTGATTTGCTTACTACAGACAAACTATACACAAGAAAAACTCAAACTGTAAGCTTTGAAATCATGGTCACTGCTCCTTCTCTGGGTTATTTTTGACCAAATACAGTCGTAAACGGATGTGAAATCCTATAAGCAAGTTATGATCCTTTCTAGAAGTGCGCACTTTGTTCTCAACATTATAGTTAATTTAAAAGGGAACAATATACTGCACTGGTAAATTAGGATGAAATATTTTTGAAAACAAACACTCCTTAGCGCTGATACCAAATCTGTTTTTTAACTATTAAACCACTTTTTGAAAGTGATTATGGGCTTTCGGAGTCCAAAGTCGCCATTGATGACATAAATCGAAGGGAAAGTGGTTCGAAAACACTTACTTATTAGATTTTAGTGGGTTTTCCCCTTTCCTTCGTGATAGTACTCCAACGGCCGTATTCAACAACGAACCCAGTAGGGTCCGCTACCCCGTGTGTAAGCTAAAAAGTGCCACTAGATTACCAATATTCACATATTTCAATTCACAACTGCTAAGTTCGCGAATCCACTAGCTTTGTAAATACCGATCTCGTGGATCAAGCCTACCCACTGGGTAGCGGAGCTACTGAATTTGTTGATGAATACGGCCACAGGTGCTGCCATGGTTAGAATGCTTTGAGCACCTTCATCCACGACACAATCCGTCTTCCTCTTTTGCGTTTTTGGAGAGTACAATGAGTTATTAAAGATGCGTCAAAAACAGCGCAGTAGCGTTCGCTGCGGTTTTTGAGGAAGCTTTCCCTAAAGAAACCGTATATGACACCTAGTGCTCAATGGGCATTCTTCGTGCATCACACAAACCGATTCAATGAACGTTGAATGACACTCACACAAACTGAGTAATTCTCAAGATTGAGATACAAATTGTTTTGTCAGTCTCGTTCTACATTGACTTTTTACCATAATACGCTTGTACTTCTGATTTTTGGTAAGGGTATCTTTAATAGAGCAAAGCAAGCTATATAAGACGACATACAGATTGCGCGACTTTTGATACATCTCAATTTGATCCCAAATGTAGGAAGTTCTGGCCCGGAATGGAAAAAAAATTTATATGGTGCATCCCCCATTGTTCCCCTTAGGTGCCAGCAACACCTTTCATTCTTTTAACAAGCACGTTAACTCCAACAAATTTGAGTTGCTTATTCAAAGAGACGTCAACAAATTCACAACAACACTACCCACCAGTGGGTCGTACGTGTTCTGCCATTTCGGACAATAGGACACACCGGTGGGTCGTAACATTCCTGAAGCTCTAGCTTTGCCTGTTTACTAAGATTCTAGGGAGTTCTGGCACATAACTGGGGACACCTAGGCGCCAGCCAAAGTGGTCCAGACTCGGGATACTTCAAAGTACTGATGTTAGCCCATTAAAAAATTATCGATTTTATTGATCTTTTTCGTTGTTCATTCCAAGAAGCTCGATTCTTGAATATGTAATTTTTTAAAGCATGCTGATTAAGAAAATGATACTCTCAAGTTCTAATACCGCCTTCTGACAACAGAATCTTATTTCTTGCGAAAATTCTACCGTAATGCTGCTGTAGACCTTTTGTGGGACAGTAGTGAAGCAAATGGACAATGTAATCGTGATCAGCACATGAAATAATCCTAAAAACAATTTTTCATCAAAATTCATGATGTATTGGGTTCGTACAGAATGACAGCCGTAACCTCACCGTATAATGCCAAAAACTGAAATAGATCATATTTTGATAACTAGCGCCTTTGATAACCCCTCTGGGGAACTTTTTGGAAACATGTTTTGAATTATATTTCAAAAATACCACCATTTCGGAATACGACCCATGGGTGGGTAGTTTGAAAAGCGAAAAAGGTTCTGGTCCGAAACGGCAGTATTAGAAAAATTAATCTTGTCGTAAATGTGTTGAAACGATCGAAAGGCAGCCACGTTGATAGTACCTAGAACAATTCTGGGATCACGATATCTTCGTCCGGAAATACAGTTCTCACCCGTACAAACAGCATCGGACAATCATAATTACTTACTTTCGTCGACTAGAGATCGAGAAAACGAAAATTTCTATGATTTCGCTAGAGCTATGCCTTGCTACTCCCACATTAGGAATTTCATACTGCAAGCCTTCAAAGCACAATAGCAAATTTTTAGCTTTTACAAGCTCTAGTTCGATAAATGTTTTTTTCATGAAGCACCCTTCCAATGAAAGCTAATTTCGAAAAATCTCGAAAACTGATGCTTGCAATAAGGTGAAGATTCGCGATTGTAGTTCTGGAGGCCTGCAGTTGACCTTAGATGTAAGGCTGAATGTCTTTTTTAGTCTGCCTGTATGTCTGTGTGTACCTATTTTCCGAATAAAAATTTTTTATGAATCGTTCTGGACCAAAATTGGCACACATGCACTTCAAAGTCGATACCGATTTTATCGAATTTTTGCAAAGTTTGAGCTAAGGGGTTGGCACAGGGAGTAAGTGAGCATGTTTGGTTACGAATATGTTATGGACAGGACCGTGCGAAGCCGGGTTTGGCTTAAAGAAACGAAATTTCTCAGTTTCTATATTACGTAAAAACACAGCAACGTTGTACATAGTTTTCACATGCGGAGCGATTACGCTTAAGCGAGTGAGAAATCTGTTCTTACAGAAATTTAAACTCTTTTCATTTTTTGTGCAGCCGCAACTTCTTACATTTGGGCTTCGAACTCGAAGTGCATGGAAACTCGCGCAATTTGCATAAATTGCTTTGCTCTGTCAATGGTACCCTGAACCCTTGAAGTCAAAAGTGTAGGGCTACTGTGATAAAAATGAAATGTAGCAAGCCTTATGTAACAACATATTAATAAAAAATTCTCAACTGTAAGTAATCACATATAAGACAGTACGAACAAAAGATTCGGATTCTTCACACCTTCCACTGTAGCTTGATATCCTGAAACTAGTTGAAGATTGCAGGAGCGTTACTAAAAGATGACATTCATTCATCACTTTTTCTAAAAAGGAAATGCGTTGTAATGTCTACATCCATATGGCAGTTCGACTGGATGTTTCGATCATCGGATAGAGGTGCTGCAAAGTGTTTACAAGTATCCTTCAAACATAGCAAGCTTTCCGTCCAAATACTCCTTCCATGCCAAGCTTCATAAGACACCACAAAAACTGACAAGAATGGGGGTCAGATTTGAAAAGTGAAGTTCATGACCAAACCGTAAGTGTTCAAGTGCAATCTGAATCTGCAGGTTGGATAAACTTAACATATGTACAAACTTTGGTGATTATTTCAGAACTAGAAAATTTGAAACTCAATTTGCAGCATAATTCTTCAGTCTAATTATAGTCATGAAAGAGACCTAACCTCATGCCCCTACCAAAGAGGTTACGATGGTATAGGCATGTGCGCAGAAGGGATGAAATTCACACCAAGAAGTTAGCCCTTGCTTTCGAGGCATCAGGCAAAAGACCCAGAGGTAAATTCAAGATAAGATAGATGGACAGATTATGCCCGACCATGAGCTTGGTATAGACGAAGACCTTGCCTCAGATAGGACGAAGTGGAGACATCTGACAAGAAAAACAGACCCTGCATAAGCGGGACACATGCGAGGATAGAAAAGTCATAAAGGGAATAAGGTCATGAGGTCAAAATCGATTCAGGATCAAAATTGATTGGTGTAAACAGACCCAAAGCAAATCATAAATGCAAATTTTAGACTAGTTGTAATATAAATGCTTGGAAGGGTTAAATCATAAATAAACCACTTCTCTCCTCATCCTTCCCGCAAACGGTCGGCTACTTCTTAGCTCTGACCTATACATCCACCAAGGATAACATCAAGAAGTCAAGGTGGAAGAAACCGTGGCTGGTCCACCATGTCTACTTGGTGGAGAAGTCATGGACCAAGATCGCAACGTCACGACAATGCCCTGGGTGGCACGAGCAAGATTGAATTTCTGCCATCAAAGGCGATCGAAGTCGATGTCGCCCAACCCAAGCCGTAAGCGGAATCATTGCGGTATCTATTGTATATAACCGCTGAGGATGAATAAATGTAACTGTAATTGTAATTGTAATATAAATATGTGGGTGATCCAAAAGTAATGGGGCACCTTGATTTTTTGAACATTCTTTGAGATCTCTTTCTGATTAGCTATGAACAACCAGCAATTTGAACGCTTTTGTATAAAGTGGCATTCGCAGGTTATCTTGACAGCACCTTGCAGCACCTCACCAACATTCCTTCGAGCGGTGCTTCAAAAAACTCAGACAGACTTTCTCGAACGCAATCCGAATTTGTGCTGCTGCACCTAAAAGTCCCCCGACATATGGCACACCATTCGAAAGAGCTTTCCAAGCCCTTTCTAATAGTTACTTGAATATTCAAAAATTGCCCGTAATTTCATATGAAAAAGGCACTTTATTCGAAAAAGTGCGATGTTTGGCGCAGATTTTCAGATTAAAGTTCATGTTTTTTTGGACCACAATTTTTGGAAAATGAGAAAAGCCGAAGTAATTTGCATGTGTATGGATAGAGCGTAAAAAGCACTATCAGAAAGCAAGTGTTAAGGTTGAGCTTATTTGATTACCTTGATGAAAGAATAAGTAATACTCCTGATACCCAATGCTATATCTTCTGTTCTAAAACATTGGGACCACCGAGCTATCGTAGATTTGGTGACAGTCCCCTCACCCATTGCTGCGCAGATATCTTTGGTAGGCTCACTTGTTCTACTGCGGCGCTGCTACTCAAAGTTCAGATTTACTTGAAGTGATGAGCTTCAATTTTAAGCGCTTATAAAAATAACGCCATGTGACAGTGCCCAACTATGGACCTCGATCAGAA